TGGTGTAGTGCACGGAGGCGCTGTGCACACAGGAGCTGCTGTGCCCGCAAGCACGGTGTCACAAACTGACGCTGCGTTGCACGCGGCTGCTGTGGTGTACATCGGCGGTGTGGTGTACACAGGCGCTGTGGTGCACGAGGGCGCTGTGATGTACACGGGCGTCGTGGTGCATATCGCCACCTACATGTTCGTGCTACCCGTCCTCCGTCATTCCTAACCATTCCCAAACGCCGCCGGCGCGAAACGTGACGTCATCGACCCCCCCCAAATGATTGCCGTGATTGGCCCGGACTTAACAACAGGCTCCAGCCGCGTCCGCGCGCGCGACGACGATGAGCGACGAGCGACGAACCACGAGCGACGAACGACGAACGACGAACGACGACGACGACGACGACGACGCTTGCGGACCAGACACCTATGCGGATTCCTACGCGGACACCTACGCGGATCCCAACGCGCACGGCGGCAGTGCCCGGAGCACACTGGGGGGGGGAGCGTTACTTCCTAGGGGTGGGAGGGGGAGCGGGGGCCACGACGCCGGTCATGCCTCAAGCAATAAAGAAATGGCTTCCTTCGGCCGTGCGGGAGGGGCGTCTGGAACCCCCGCGGGGACCTCCTCCTCCCCCGTCTCCGCCCCTCCCCCCTCGCCCCCCCTCGTCTTCCATCTCCTTCTGTCCTCGCCCGCCCACTCCCCCGCATTGGGCCGCTCAGCTGCGCGCAGCCTGGGCTATTGTGGCAGTCGCCTGCAATGCCCCTGCTCGGTCGCCGATGCTGGACCGGTCCACGGCGACGAGGATGTGGCGCTGCACGACAGGCGCGTGCGACTCGCACTCGCTAGACAAGCCGTAGCGCGCCAGCCAACCGAACATGTTGGTCATCAGCGCGGACTCAGCTGCCATCGTTGCCTCCGCAAGCACGCGGTACCTCGACCTCCATTCGTAGTTCGCGAGCGCATCTGGCGGCATCTTATCTTTGGGCCGCACGTACGTCAGGAACAAGCGCCACGTGCAGGGCAGACACTGTGGGATAACCGCCACCGCACCCAGAGGCGCGAGATGTTGCGTTCCCAAGACCCTTGCAATTTTCGTCAGTGAACCCAAAGGAATCATTGAATTGCGAAGGGGGCTAAATGCCAGGAGCTCCAGGGCGCTCTTCCGTGGAGCGCCGCCTCGCCATCTGGCCTTGAACCTTCAACTGCAAAGCGCAGAGCGCCGCTTAGATGATTCGCCCCTGGCGCGGCGGCGGGTTTGGCCGAAGGCCACTCGATCCGCCGAACCCTGCGTTCTGGCCGCGGAAATGCGCGGCGCGCTGGGATTCCGAATGTTTCGGTTTTTTCGAAGGGACCCCCCAGCGGGGTCTCGGCCCAAACCGCTGGCCACTCCCCGGGGGGCGGCCCAACATGTAAACTCCGTCGGCGTCTCGAGCCCGCAGGGACCTGCGCACTTCCCAGGTCGTCGGTCTTTCTGGCTCCATGCGGCCTCGGGAAAGCCTCCGAAATGGCCAAGATGGTTCTGGGGCGGCTATGATGGCCCCGAGATGCGCCCAAGACGGCCCAAGATGGCGTCAAGATAGCCCAGGACGGCCCAAGAGGACACCGAGAATTTTCGAAGCGGGGCCGAACGTCCCCAGAGCGGTTCGCCGTAGGCACGTGGGGTACAAGCAGAAGGAGCTGCCGAAGTATTCGTTGATGCACTCGTTGAGCTGCCGGAGCTTCGGCAGCGCTGTCTCCACTGCAAGCGGGAAGCCGTCGTGCATGCCCTGGGCTGCAGTCAGGAACGCCCTGGGGGCTGGCCCAGCGAAGATGTACTCGCACCGGACCCGGAAGAGAAGCGTGCATTGGGGGCAGCGGCATCTCACAGGCGGGCTGCGCCCGTGGACGTGCGCGCCGTCGTCGCGCACATCGGGCGGCCTGTGCGCGCGGCTACATACGGCGCACCCAACCAGCAGGAAGATGTCGGAGAGCATGAACTTCAGGGGGGCAACAGTGAACCCTTACCGCAAACGGTAGCGCCGGTGAGACGGTGGGACGTCCAAGAAGGTCCAGCGTCAGCAGGCTCAGCATGAGCGCTTCGGTCACGGCGAAGGCCTGTTTCACTAAGCCAGGGTCGCCCACCCCCGCCCGAGCCTGCCTCAGAACTCTGATTAGACTGCTCAGCCGGCCCGCTATCACCAAGCAGGAAGATATTCATGGCGGCAGAGCATGCAGCAGGTGGTCGAGGATGCGGAAGTCGCACGCGATCGGCACCCCGACGCTGCGCGGGTATGTGCGCCGCCGGCCGTCGTGCCCGTCGAACCACCCGGTGACCGACGACATCAAATGCAGTTTGCTGAGGACAGAAGCGCGGAGAAACTGAGCAACCGCTTCGCTCGTTTCCAGCGTGACACCGTCGCACAGATGCCGATGTGCAGCGCCGGGATCCCGCAACACCGTGTCGTCGATGAACTTGGGGGCCCCTGTGTATCGAAGCATGCAAGCACACACCAGCCACACTGCCAAGCGCGCATCAGTGGTAGGCGCCGAGCGGAAGATGCGTCGATAGACGCTGACCGCAAAACACGCGCGAGACCTGAGCGACGCGTCGAGGCGAGGCTGCTTGCCCAACAAAGGTGCGTGAGACACGATAGATCGATGCAGCAGCGGAGCGCGCTCGAGCCCCGACTCCACGCGCCCCCGGGCTGCCCGTGGAACCAGCACGTCCGGCTGGACCACAACTAGGAGGCAGTAGAAGTAGAAGAACGCGCGGAACAAAGGCTTGTTGACGAAACCCATGCGGACAGCTATCTGGTCAGAAACGTTGCTAAGGTCTTCCGACATCAGGTCCGATCCCAGCAAATACTTCTCACTGTCATCTCCTTGGTAAGAGATTCCCGTCCAGGACGTAGGCTCTCGGATGTCCTCATCATGTTGCTGGTCTTGCTCGCTATCGACATCGGAGCAATCCGAATCCGACTTGGCATCAACGCGTGCTGGCGCAGGCGCGGGGGGCGGAGGCCCTGGCACTGAGGAAGTCGCAGCCTGGCGATCCCATCGGCCCCGGCTCGACACCCCGCCGTGATCTGCACACGCGGTACGCCCGTCCTCGGCACGGCAGGTAGTGCACCGAGGACAACCTGCAAAGCCCTCGCACCGAAGGCGTTTCATCTTGAGCCACCGCTTCGGACATGGCTGGCGGTACGTGCGCGGCCGAGGGGGGGGGGGGGGGGGCGGAACGCACTGAAGTAAGAAGAGGCGCCATGAAATCTGAGGAAGTATCATGGCCCACGCCATGACGTCTACCCCCCGTGGTCATGAGGGGCAACGTAAATGGGGGACTGACATAGGGGGGGATGCATCGACCTGGAATCGGCGATACATCGCCGATAGATCGGCGATAGCCCTCCGATAGTGAATCCGCGCCTTCCTGGGCAGGTTGGGGCTATCTGGCCCCTATCGGCGATCAATGGGCAAATAGGGGTCGATGCATCCCCCCTATGCTTATCCCCCCCCCTCGTTGCCCCCGATGTATCACCCCCTTCTTTGCCGCCCCCAGAATAGGTGCAGACCGCTTGGGGTCGACGCTATGGAAAAAAACTCGTGATGTCGGGGGTCTAGGACCCTGGCGTCGTCGCGCGTGCCACGCCGGAGGCCTTCGCCCCATGCATGTCGGGCCCCAGGGGCCCTCACTGATGGACCTCTGGCGCGAGACATGCCGCAGGAAATCTTCGGTGGCAATTCGTGGGAGGTTCCCATGCCATCTTGTCGGCTCTTGCGAATCGACGCACATCGACGCTAGTCGACAATAATCGACGATAAATCGACGCCAAATTTGACGCTAATAGACGCTAGCCGACGCTCAATCGGCGCTATCTCATCGACTCCAGACACTAATCCATGCAAAAAACTATATTAAGAGGGTACACGAGGCTTCCACGATTTTCTAAATCATTTTCAATCGGGGACGCGCGAATCCAAGTCAGCGCTGACCTGCGCCAACCGGAGCCATGCCGCGAGCACGATAGCTGGCCGAAGAACAGCTCCAGGTCCGCGGAAGAAGACAGAGGGGGCTGGCTCGACGTGGCTCGCAACCCGGGTCGGCCCGAGGGAATAGTCGAAGGGGGCTGGCTGACCCCCCTCCTGCAGCTCCTCCTGCTCCTCCTCGTCTTCCTCCTCCTCCAAATCCTTCTCCTCCGCCTCCTCCTGCTCCCCCTCCGCCTTCGCCTCCTCCTACTCCCACCCCTCCTCCTCCTCCTCCTCCTCCTCCTCCTCCTCCTCCTCCTCCATCTCACATCATCATCATCATCATCATCATCATCATCATCATCATCATCATCCTTCTCCTCCTCCTTCTCCTCCTTTTCCTCCTCGTCCCCCTCCCCTCCATCCCCCTCTCCTCCACCTCCCCCTCCCCCCAGCCTCCTCCTCCTCCTCCTCCTCCTCCTCCTCCTCCTCATCCTCCCTCCTCCTCCTCCTCCTCCTCCTCCTCCTCCTCCTCCTCCTCCTCCTCATCGTTCGCGCTGACCCTCCGTTCGCCGAGACATCGGCTGGGCGGAAGCCGTCGGTGGCCGTCGTGAACCCTCGGGAGGCCCGAGGAGTCCGGGGAGCCCGGGGAGTCCGGGGAGTCCGGGGACTCCGGGGACTCCGGGGACTCCGGGAAGTCCGGGGAATCCAGGAAGTCCAGGAGTCCGTGGAGTCCAGGGAGTCCGGGGAGCCCGGGGAGTCCGGGGAGTCCGGGGAGTCCGGGGAGTCCGGGGAGTCCGGGAAGTCCGGGGAGTCCGGGGAGCCCGGGGAGCCCAGGGAGTCCGGGGAGTCCGGGGAGTCCGGGGGAGTCCGGGGAGTCCGGGGAGTCCGGGGAGTCCGGGGAGTCCGGGGAGTCTGGGGAGTCCGGGGAGTCCGGGGGAGTCCGGGGAGTCCGGGGAGTCCGGGGAGTCCGGGGAGTCCGGGGAATCCGTGGAATCCGGGGAGTCCGGGGAGTCTGGGGAGTCCGGGGAGTCCGGGGAGTCCGGGGAGTCCGGGGAGTCCGGGGAGTCCGGAACCCAGATGCGCACCATACTGCATTCGAGGGCAGTTCCGCCTAGACCCAGGCAAGACGGAGTGCATGGCGCAGGGCCTCGCTGACCGACGGCCGCTCAATGACATTGCCTTCGTTGACCTCCACGTGTCCTTGGGCATCCCCGTAGAGCCTGACGCGACCATGATTGGCCTGCTGAAGCAAGTTGAGCAGCGGGCGCAGAGGGCCTGGCGCGGCACCCTCGCGGGCATTGAGCTGCTCGGCCTCCCCCTGGCGGCGGCGCTCGCAGCACTGCGGGCCCGCGTGCAACCGGGCGCCTGCCACGGAGCCGCCCTCTTGGTGATCCGCGGCGACTGGGCGACTCGCCTGGACGCCATCTACGACCGATGGGTCTCTGAGCTCCTGGACTTGACCCAACCGGCCCCCCGGGTCTGCCTTCTCCGCGAGATCGGGATGCCGTGGAGACTCAGCACGACCACGCTTCGACAAGCGTTCGGTTTCTGGGCCAGGGTCCAGGCCATGCCCCAGTCCGCCCTCCCGCCGCGCGTGCTGCGCCTTGCGGGACAATCCCAGGCCACCTGGACAGCGGCCATGCAGCACCACGCCGGCGGCCTGAACGTGCGACCGTTCCGGGAGTGGGTGGAGGCGGCGGCCGCTGCGCCCCCCGAGGCGCTCGGCCGGGAAGCGCGCAAGAGGCTCATCCGGCGTAACCTCGTGGAGGAGGTCGACCTACAGCTGCAGCGGCGTGAAGATTTCTGGGTGACCGCCGAGCGCGCCCGGCACCCGGGCAGAGGGCTACGGGTCGCGGCGGATGCGGCAGAGTTCCGCCTGACTTGTCGCGCCATCCGGCCCTGGGCGCAGTGGCGCCTCCAAGGGCGCTTCACCTCCAGCAGGGCGGCGCGGCGGAGGCAGCCTGTCCGTGGTGCGACGGCGTGGAGCTTGACGTCCAGCACCTCCCACAGTGCCGCAACGCTGCGCAGGCAGCGCGGGACGCCACAGCAGGGACAGCCTGGGAGGGCACGCCAGCCGCAGCGCTTGCGCAGCGCTGCGCCCAGGACGCCGACGTCCTGACGGGGGTGACCGTAGCGGCGCGGCTCGCGGCCGGGCCACGGAGGTAAGGCGGGCGCCCGTGGGTCGAAGGACCCCATATGCCGTTCAGGATCACCCATTCTGCAGAGGCCCTTGACGACCTCTGAGGTGGCCCAAGGCGGCCCTGGTGGTCCCGGCGACCCGGCGGGGCCCCCCGGGACCAGATTTACGCGCGCTTGGGGGCCCCGGAACGCCCGGGAGCCTCACGATATCACAACCCTGGGGTTCGTGATCGGGGGGCCCCGGGGCGGCTCCGGGGGCCCCGGGGGCGGCCGTGTGACCCCGGGGCGGCCTTGGTAGGTGACCGCGGCGGCCCGGACGTCCCCCGAGATAGCGCGTTCAGCTTCCGACATGGCACCGGGACTTCGCCGGCGGGGGGCGTGGGGCGGGGGTCTTCGTATCACCCGCTCTTACGGCCCCTGCTGGGGGGGCTCCAGGGGCGCGGGCTGGGGGCGCGGGGCGCTGTTGACACAAGATCTCTTATGTCACAGGCCTCGGCGGCCCTGGCCGGGCGGGCCGTGGGCGCGATCCTGGGGGCCGGGGGAGGGCGGCCTCGTGGTGGGGCTGGCGTCGTCGTCGGTGTCGTCGCCGCCGTCGCTGCCGTCGCCGCCGCTGTCGTCGTCGTCGCCGGTGCCGCCTTCGTCGGGGTCGTCGTCGCCGTCTTTCTGCCCCCCCCTCCCCCCCTGCCCTCCCTTGCCCTCCCCCTTCTCCCTCCTCCCTCCCTCCCCCCGCCCCCTTTCATCGGTCCAACGGAGTCCTTCGACCCTGGGGGGACCTGGCAAGAGAGCGCGCCCCCGACGGGCGTCCAGCGATAACCCCGTCAGTCCTGCCGTGGCAGGCTTCGGGGCTCGCTGAGTCGCTGGCAGACCGTCGGGCCAGGTTTATAAAATCCGTTTAATAAGTTTCTCCCACTCTGCCGGGAGAAACCCGCGCCGGCCGGACCGGTGGCGGCATGCTATCGGAGAAGAAGGGGGAAGAGGAGGACGAGGAGGACGAGGAGGGGAAGGGGGAGGAGGGGGAGGATGATGATGATGGACGACAACGGGAGGACGATGATGGAGCCCGATGAGGGGGAGGACGACAATGGGAGGACGATGATGGAAGGACGAGGGGGGGAGAGGGAGGACGAGGAGGAAGAGGAGGAGGAGGACGAGGTGGAGGAGGACGATGACGATGACGATGACGATGAGGACGAGGACGAAGAAGAGGAGGAGGAGGAGGAAGAGAAGGAGGAGGAAAAAGAGCGCCATCGACAAAGAAGGTGGGGGCCACGAGGTCCGCCGGCTCTACGACGCCCGCGTCGCCCGCGCCCGCCCCCTCACTCTTATCCGCAATTGCGGGGTGCTACGTATTATTATTAGTCTTAATATTATTGTTGTTATCATTATTATATTTCCAGTGGAAATTATTCGTATTATCA